GAAGCATTGTAATAGAAGGCCCCTTAACACCTTTTACTGCTTTCCGTTTTTCAACTGCCCTTTCAACATATATGTTATGTTTTGTTATCGTACGCATTACTCCCTTACCACCTGGATATACTCGTGTGTACCCCCTCCAATAGCAATGTGTTCTCCTTTATTAAGACAATAAGAGCATCCATATTTTCCATTAAATTGTTTAATATTTTGAATCAAAGGTCGAGCAACTGAATCAACTGGTGAGAAAAGCGTATGAACTTTAATCAATATAGGTTCTTGATGGTTGAATGTATTACATTCAATTCCATTAATATGTAACTCAAGAAGTTCGTCTATAAATGGTCTAAGAAAAAGTTCCATAGGTGGTTTCTCAGAATTGAACCATAATCCACACAAAGTAAAATATTATCACGTCTAATTCTATAAGGTAATTCGTTAATAGATACTTGGATAGGCCATATAGAATATTTTGACGAATTAAATATTTCTACGCCATCTGTATTCCATTGAATACTAATGTCTTGATCAGAAATAATATTTTTTCTCTCAACTGATAATATATGTTTCCATTTATAACATCGCTTTCATATGACATTTTTCTAAAATATGTAAATAACTTTGTGTTTACTAGTTCTATTAATTGTTCCTTCAATGGAAGATGATAAAAATAATTAAATTGTCTTTGCAATCGACGACGATTGTAAATTTTTTCGCAATTTTTGCATTCCACTCTGTTGCAGTTTTCAAACTTCAATATTATTAAACATTTTGGACAAAAGTAATATATATTAGCTTGTACCTTTGGAAACGTTTTAAGAAAATGATACTTCGAATTGTATTGCGTATGTGGCAAATGGCAATCTACAATTTTAAGTAAAGTTTCCAGTCCTACGTCCGTCATTTTGTTTCGAATAGCTGTTCCTATAATTAATAATTGGCTTTCTTCTTTGGTCAAATTACATCCTTCATATATGGGAACCCGTATTATATCCTGCAAAAAAATTTTATACATATACATTAAATATACATCCATGTTATGATGAACGTTATTCTTACTGAATGCATATTCTGAAAAAACAAAAAAATAGTTTGTAAAAGCAAAGCATTTATATTATTTTAAATAATTGTAGGTTATTTATTTTCTGAAATAGGAATTATATATATATATATATATTTCTTACATTGTATGTTGCCTTGAATTTATTAATTGTGATAAATTTTTTTATTACTATTTAGTTTTATAATCTCTATTTTTTAATGTTATATTCTCAATGCCAATATTTATTTCAATAAAATAGTAGTTCTAAATAGTGAATTTCTTGAAATTACCTGTATTTGATTCTCATATTCTTCGTTGTCTTCATTACTTTCACTGTCGCTTTTATTTTTGTGAATATCTACATTGTCATTATTATAATTATCACTGTTTTCATCTTCAGAATAATTAAGATAATTTTCTTCTAAATCATTCTCATTTTTACTGGAGAAGTCAGAATCAACTTGACTGCTGTTTGATTTTTCTAAGCTTCTTCTGCTTACAATTGTCTCATTGTCACTGTCAATTCTAATTGCATTAACTTGGAATTGATTACTATATTCTTCAATATCAATAGTAGAATCATCATTGTCTTGGATATCATGATTCCTCGTATTTTCATTATTAGAAAGTTCATTGGAAATTGGAACCTGTAATAAATAATTAAAAAAAATAACAATAAAGCTTTATTTATTATAAAATAATTAATAATTAAATAGAGATTATTCATATAAATAGTCATTGAATGTATACTGCATTTAATGAAAGTTATCACTAAGTTTATGTCAAAAACATGAGAATACAAGTTTATACAAATAAATTTTCAATACAATGTTTTTTATTAAAATAAATAATATAAATGTATAAGCTAATCTCAACTTCTACTATTCTTTGTTTTTCTCTTCCTGCTGAAAAGCGAGCTCGACGAGAACAAATGGTTGTCACAGGTATTTCTTCTACAATGTCGACCAAATACTTTTTATATGGTCCTCTTGATGTATTAGTCATTTTTTATGTTATTTTTATGTTTTTTATGTTATTTTATATCTCAAAACTTAACTAATATACATAATAAATTGAAAAAATATACCAAACAATATTATTATTTATATATTATAATAGCAACTGCTTGCAAAACAATAGTAAAAATGAATGATAACGACTGTATTCTGCTTGAATTTGTTAACGAGGATAAAAAGATAGCAAAATTGGTTATCAAGATTAGCTTCTGCAAAAAGTCACAGAAAAAGAAGAATTTGCCAGATTAATCGAAAACAATATTAAAATTGAAATAAAATGGCCTAATTGCGACATTGCACCGACATCAAATATAAAAAACGATTGAAAACGTGTCAATGGCAGGTGGTTGTGGTTAAGTTACTTGCTTTTGGAGGTAAGTAATAAGTATAATAATTTAATATTATTTATTGTAGATATCTATACTTTCGATTAATAGACTGGCATATGTACATATAGATATATAAAGAGAGTTTCGATAGATAGTTGTATTTTATTATATATGATCACCATTTTTTTTTAATTAACTTTGGTTAAAGTTATAACATAATTTTAATTGAATTGTACGCAGGGCTTAATTTCTAAAAAAATAAGAACCGGAACGCATGAAAAAGATATTTCTTCTTCTGATATTTATTAAATAAATATTAAATTTCAGATTAAAAAAAAATTGAAACGCCATTCCGGTCAAAATTAAGCCCTGATTGTATGTGTATCTTTAAGATAATATTTGTTGAATAATTGTATTAAAATTTTTCTGATTCTAATTTTTAAGAATGGGTAAAAATGTGCGAGTATAGAGATAATTTAACAGAATATGGCGTATTACAACCAACCAAAGAAGATCGAAAAATAATACGAAGAAAAGAATGGAGTGATGATGATGAAAATAGTGAAATACGTTCAAAGAAAATGGTTAATTTTATAAATAACATATAACTTTAAATACTAATATAAATACGTTTATATTGTATAATAATTTTGAACTTTTTTTGAATATAGAACAAAGTTGGTGTAACAAAAAATGAAATTAATGAATCAAAATCATTACAATT